TTATTTTTTAGAATAGTTTTAGTTTCACAGCAAAATTGAGCAGAAGGTACAGAGATTTCCTATTTACCACCCAACCCCACACATGCCCCCCCATTAACCACACCCCTCACCAGAATGGTGCATTTGTTAAAATTGCTGAATCTACACTGACACATCATCATCACTCAGAGTCCATAGTTTACATTAGGGTACGCTCTTGGTATTGTACATTCTATGGGTTTGGACAAATTTCTAACAGCATGTATTCACCATTACAATAGCATACAGGGTAGTTTCACTCCCTACAAATCCTCTGCGTTCAGCCTATTCATCACTCCCATACTCCCAAGCCTGGCAACAAAGGATCTTTTCATTGTCTCCATAGTTTTGCCTCTTCCTGAATTTCATATAGCTGGAATCGTTTAGCATGTAGCCTCTTTAGATTGGCTTCTTTCCCTTAATAATATTCACTGGAGTTTCCTCCATCTCTTTTCGTGGCTTGATAGCTCATTTCTTTTTAGCACTGAATGATATTTCATATTGTCTGGATGCACCACAGTTTATTTATTCATTCACCTACTGAAGGACACCTTGGTTTCTTCCAAGTTCTGACAATTGTAATAAAGCTGCTGTAAACAACAATGTGCAGGTTCTTTGTGGAAATAAGTTTTCAACTCCTTTGGGTAAATAACAAAGGATTCTGTATTATATTTCTGATTTCTGTATTATATTGTAAGAATATGTTTAGTTTTATGAAGAATTACCAAACTGTCTTCCAAAGTGGCTATACCATTTTGTATTCCCACCAGCAATGAATGAGAGTTCCTGTTGTTGCACATTCTTGCCAGGATTTGATATTATCAGTGTATTTTATTATTTAGCATTGCAGATTCAAATCTAGAAAACAAGATATGAAAGCTAAGAGTGTTTTGAAATGTAATCCCTTATAATCTCCATTTGATCTCATTCTTAAAAGGAAAAAAGTGTATTATGAAAAGAAAGCGGACAGCTAAGAAAAGTCTTATTCTGTATTAAAACATACTTCTCCAAGGCATTGTCATCTTTGATATATGTAGATTTATAACTTGATGTCCAGTTGAATAAATATACAATCCTTACCTTTTGTAGCTATTCCTGATGTAAAATTACACCCATGTGGCCCAGATGAAATTGAAATGGGAGGGGACTGTGTCCGTAAGTATTACATTTTGTTTTTTAATCATGTGTTTATAAACTAGCAATATCAACAGGTATTTATGTTCTATGGCTTTAGATGTTGAATTATGCTAGTTTTTGACATAGCCACAGTCTGATGGATATCAAAAATAAAAATGAATTTATTGTGCCTTTAAGAAATAGTCCTGGAGTTGGCAGAGGTATAGAGAGTTAGGCAAATATGTGTGTATATTAATTGAATCTTCCATGGGAAAATTGAGCAATTCATCTCAGCATTCTTAAAAATCCACATGTATTTGCACCTAGCAATTCTGCTTTCAAAAATCTGTCTTAGAAAACTATTTAAGGAAATATGCGTGAACAATATTTATAACACCATTTTTCTAATAATGTGAAAAAAGAAAAAAAAACTTCAAATACCCAATAACTTCTAATTGATTCAATACTTACAATATATAAATAATGACAAAATATTTTGCAAATAGCTTTACAATGTAGAAGTACATTTATTGACTTTAGTAGATATTCATGGTATGTAGTAGCTAAGAAATCAGATTATACAATATAATCCCATTTTTTTTAGGAATGATTGCATTTGGGCCAAATAAGTCTTGAAAGATAAACATCAACAATGCTAAGGTGGTCAAAGTTTTTCTCTTCCTTTCAATGTATATTTTTTGGGTATTTGTTAATGTTTTAAGTTTACTTCACATATTAAGAAATCCCCCTACTGTAATATTCCTTAAAATAGGTCACTTGAAATAGATAGTCTAAGTGATAAAATATATGTCATCTACATACAGGACTGGCAGAAATTAAAATTATTTATTGAAACATTGGCCTTTGCATGGGGTCTGTTAGTCA